CCCCCCCCCCCCCCCCCCCCCCCCCCCCCCCCCCCCCCCCCCCCCCCCCCCAACTGCCACTCTTGTTTTGTTTCACCTAAACTGGTCTGTGAAGAGAAGAAGCTCCCCCCTTTCCCTTTGAGAGCTGAGGACGAAGAAGAATAGCAGTAAGTGAGCAGTGCGGAGTAGTGGCTTGCGAAATACTAAGCCCTTGGACCAACGAAGATCCCCCTCAGTTGGCCTAGATCTACCAAGCATGGCATTGGCCTCACGTTAGGGCCGTCTTACCCCAACCTCAACTCAAACTCGGGGGTGTGCACGCGCACCTTTTGACACGGCACTCGAGCGGCCGAATGATTGGACGGCCGAAGCGTCTCTTTCGCAGCCGGTCTAAATTAGAGCAAGGAAAAAAAACGGTGGGCTAAAATGCTGGGGTAAGAAAAGTATGAGGGGAGAAGAAGAAAAAGGGAAATACACAATGCCGATCTGGGGTCTATTCTGTAGAGACATCCAACGGCTTTTTATTTTTGTTTGATAAACTGCCCTCGGAGCGTCGTATTGCATCTGCTTTCTTGTCGCATCATATTTTCGCCGCGGCATTGCTTCGCTTATCCTTGCCTGGGACTCCTTTTCCGCTGTGACTCTGCGACAAAGCAAGAAGCGCGACTTTCTGGCGTTTTCCTTTCCTTTTTGCAACAGCCGCCCTCGTATGCAATGCAAACAAATCCTTTCAAGACGAGATGCTGCATGAAAATAGAAACAAACAAATCAGGGTATAAACAAGCAAGCAAGCAAAAAACAAGGAAAAAAAAAGACACACAGAGGGGGGGGGGGAAAGGGCCCCTGCACCCGTCAAGTGACCGGCAAGCCACCTCCGCAAAATTCGCTCGCTCCTTTGCTCTACTGCAACTCGTACATACCACATGCTGTAAGCCCGTCAACCTTACATGGAGGGTTTTCCCCATTTCCCGTCTCTCGCCCGCCAATTGGACGGTGACCCTCGACTGACCCCCTTGGCATCATGACACAGGCGCGCATCTGCTAACTAGAATGACTTTGGTGAGCCGATTTGCTAGAAGGCCGAAAGCCTGCCCAATCGTGCATGACTTTTTTCTTTTCCCTTGCTTGCTTGCTTTGGTTCGGAACGCCCGTCTTGCGACGTTGCCTCGTGATCGCGTGCCTTTTTGTGGGCAGACGAAGCATCATCAGAGACGGGGTTTTATTTCTCTCTCTCTCTCTCTCGCTTGCTCTCCCTCTTTTCATTCTTTTTTCTTCCCTTTTTGCTAGACACTGAATTGAAAAGGCGATTCATCTTGCTATTGCTTCTTTTTTTTTTTTGGGTTGCTGCTTGTTCGCATCGTATACCCGCATCGGCTTTCCTCAGACAAATCTCATCCGTCCTACTGCACAGCACAAAATAGCTTCAGTTCTTCGGCTCCCTACATCCTCCATCCGTATCTCTGCCTCGCCCATTCCCCCAGGCATCTCTTCTCGGGCTGCATAACATAGCCTTCTAAGGGGGGCCCGAGCAAGGAGCTTTTTGAAAAAAAAAAAACAAAACAAGTGTCAGTCAAGTTGTTTATAAACCGAGTATGTGTGTCTCCAATTTTGGAAACCCGCCCCGTTGCTACCATAACACACACCACACCACACACTCGCCCGGCATTTATATTTAGTGCTCGCCCATTCCACTCCTCTTCGAGTCCATTCCCCCGTTGCTGATCGTCTTCTTCCTCTTTCTTCTCTCTACATAGGCTTTGCTCGTCCCTGGAACTTGAGCTGTTTTTGCTCCTCTTATACGAAATCCTGGCTTGGGAGAGTAAGCTTACTCGCGAGACTTCATCCTTGCGTTTTTGCCCGAGTAGTCACTGTTATTGCCACAAAACCTTCTTACCGACGGGTTTTTATTTTTATTTTTTTTATTTTAAATACACCAACGTCTTGTTAAATGCGGCTCCAGAAGCTGCATATACATAGCAGCAACACTGGTGCTGCTCAGACCTCCCTCAACAATCGCCAAAACCCACACGCAAACGCGCCCTTCGCCATGTTCTACGAGACCCTCTACGTCCATGATGCCAAAATGGCAGCTCACCAGCCCATGCCGCACAGAGCTGCAGCAAAGACCTCTTCGCGCAATCACGCCTCCAAGCCGCAGTCGCAGCGTCTCAAGGCCCTCGACGCAGATGACCTGACCAGGAGGCTGTATGTCGTGCTGGCTGAGCAAAAGGCCCAAGCCGAGAGGAAGAAGCGCGCGAGGGCAGCCGTCGAGGCCGAACGACAAGCAAACGCCGCGGCCGTGGCACGGAATGCCAACGCACTGCACCCCGGCCAGCACGGGATCCCATTGGGACCAACGGTTGCGTCTACGCAGATACAGAAGAGGGAGGCCACGGCGGCCAAATCACATGTCAGAAACGCACCGCGAGACTCAAACGAATATCCGCCCAAGGCAGACAAGCTGCAAAAGGCCGGCATGAAGAATTCTACCTCGTCATCTAGCAACAGGAATTCGGAGGATGCGGCGCCGCCGGCATCAAACTACCGTCACGTCCCGCAGGTTGCTGCTTCGCAGTTTGCCCGCACCACAACCACCGAGACGGTGACGGAGAAGCACCTCGTGCACAAGCTGTCCAGGCAGGCCGTCAAGTTTCACATGCAAGGCCCCAATGCCATGGTGGCGACGGACCTCGCGCCGTCCGAGCAGAACAAGGCGCTCCGAAGGGTGCAGAGCATGAGGGAGAGGCAGTATGAGCGGAACCAATTCCAACACACCCACTCGCTCGCCGCCACGGCCGAGGTGGACGAGAGACCCGCGTCCACCGCTCCTCACACGTTCCACGAATATCTCAAATCTAGAAACCCAGACCCCCTTGACGAAATGAGCAAGGAAACGCGGAGGAGAAGCATGGGCGCTATCCTCGGCATGATGATGCCGGCGGATGCCGAACCTGCGGAGAGGTCCATGTCGTCGTCGGACAACCAGTCGGACACCGTGCCCGTCAACCCTGACGAGCACCGCGTGGACTGGACCCAAAGTGACGAAGCCACAGTTCTGCTCCAACAGAGGCAACAGCAGCCGCCATCACAACAACAACCTCCACAGCAGCCGCAAAAAGGCGTCTTGCGCAAAGCCGAATCAAAATGGGCCCTGCGGACAAGGCTCGGGAGTTTCAGCAAGAAGGGCGACAAGCTTTCCTCGCCAACCGAGGAGAAAGACGCCGAGTCTTTCACCGAGACACCAAAGTCTCCCACAAAGACAGGAGGGCTCTTTGCGCGATTCAAGCGTTAGCCAAATGCCAAATGACGGATTATGCCCCGACATGATGGGGGGGCAAACAAACACACGTACCTTGGATCATCTGATGGGTATGACTTAACGATGAGGATGATATAATGCATAATGTAGGGAAAGGCGGGATTTATACATCGGTTTTTAAGGAGGGATGATGAGCCATTCGTGAGAGAGGAGGCAGGGGAGGCGAGCCGGTGTATGCTGCAGCAAAGTCGTATCGTAAAACATCATTATACCCCAAAAGCCATAGAGGCCGTCCAGGCCTGTAGTCGTCAAGTTTTCTTTCTGTTCTTCGTATCTTCGTATCTTCGCTCTCCCTCTCCAGTAGCTTTATCCGTGACGCCTGTCTTCGGCAAGCAGACGCTCGATGAGGGCCGTGTCTTGTTGAGCAACCTGTCGCTGCACAAACGCAGCGGCGTTGTTCTGCTCGCTCGTCTCGTTCATGATGTGCAGTATCAACTCGGTGTACTCTCGGATCGCCTCGCCGTCTTGGCCACTCGCTTTCCGCGCCCTTCGCAGCGCTGCCTTTCCGTTCTTGATGCCGATATCGTGGTTCCATGTGCCTCTGCCGCTGTTGGCCGGAAGGCCCTTCATGAGCGAGGCAGGTATAGCCTTGGTGGCAGCATCTGGGGCTTCCGCCGGAGGCTGAGTCGCGGCGTGGATCTCGAGGAGCTGGTTTGGGAGGTTGGGATATTTGTTGAAGAGGAGCTGGAGCTTGTCCGAATTGGCGAGGGCGCTGAAGGGGTTCGTTGGGTCGATGGGGCCAGGCGGAGGCAGGTTTGCGCTTGCTGCTTGCTGCTTGCTCGAGGCGAGGCTTGTCGGGTTGGGCTCTTCTTTAGGAGGGTCTGGCGGATGGTTCTGTTGGTGGGCTTTGCTACACGGGACAGAGCAGCTGGAACGGTAGTCAGTATTAGATCATAGGTGTCTTGCCACCGTCGTCCCGTTTGCTTCTTTGTCTTTTGCGACATGGCCACGACGGTTGAGAGGTGTGAAACGTACTAAGGAAGACGGCATCGCGAGCATTTGTATTTGCCAGGATTGGTTTCGCAGACGCCGCACAGGAGTGCGTTTGTCTTTTGCACGGACGGTTCCTGGGATGCTGCCATCTCGCTACTATTGCCTTGGTGATGCTGATTTGCGACTGCTCTCGCGTCAGACACGTGCGTCTGCTGGTCGTTGAAGCTATTCTCGCCAATAGTAGCAGCCTTGTTCGAAGGAGCAGGAGAAGCAGAGATCTTGTCAGCCTCGCCGCGAGCCTCTGACGCCATTGCTTTGGATTGGCAGGTGTCGCAGCAGGATTAATTTTTTTTCTCTCTCTCTCTGAAGGCGCGTGTTTGCACAAGAGTGCAAATGTCGAAATTTAGCGCCCCGCCAACCCGGACTTTTTTTTTTTTCAAGCTTCAAGGTTCCCTTTCGCAAGCCAAGCCTTTCTCATGTCAAAAGTATCAAAGTACAGTCAGTACTGCACTCGCACGGCACAGACTTCAAATGATCACGGTACTGTACTTTGCACGACTACCTACAAGGGGGATCCTGGCTCAAAAGAAACATGTTCACCAGGGCGAAAATTCTGGTGGCCGTGCACCCTGGAAGTGAATGCAAGTCAGACAGCATGCGAGCAATGCCATTGGTGCAGTTGCGTCATGACAGACGGCGCTGAAGCTTGCTAGCTTCTGGCAGTTCTGCAAATGAGCGTCTTCAGGCTGCCCCTTTTCGGAGCATTGCGCTACAGCAATATGTACTGCTGTACAAAGAAATACATGTTGACGGACATGAGGCTGCCGTTTGAGCCCTGTGATGTGGCGACGGCGAGTTCAAGTTTTGCTGCCTTGAGCTTGCTCTCAATTGGCCGCGGGATGAAGACAAGACCCGGCATGGGTTCGTTCTACTCGCAACCTGCTGCAAGCGTGCATTTTACCATTACGACGGTCCGCATTGTTCAATGCGAGCCTGCTTGCTTGGATGGACGCCACCTGGACGCCTCTGGTCCAACCCATCAATGCTGGGCACAAAGTCTGTGGTGGCCAGGCTCCGAGGGAAGAATTGAGAACGAATCGTGATTGCTCTGGTGTTACCGGTGTTACCATCATGTCTTGCCATGATTGTCACCTTGGGCATCTGGGCCGACAGCCATGTCGTCTGGCTTGACTCGTAGCGATAGCCCGTAGGGCTACAATGCCGCGCCAAGGGAATAAGCTCCAGCTGGCAAGTCCTTAGACCTGGATTTTCTGGAGATGCACTTTGGTAGCCTCAATAGCCTCGACTTGACGGCACAGTGCAGAGGAGCGGGGGCGGCCAGTCCAAGACGCCACCGAATCACCACATGACATGACGGCCATTGAGTGCCTTTGCAAACAAATGTCATTGCCGCGTGGACATTGCCCGGCGTTGCCCCAGAGGCTGATGCAAATCATGCAACCGGCATTGCTTATCCCCCATCCTTTTGAACATCTGGGGCAGAAGCTCGGCAGAAGACTTGATGACAACGTTGGTGCCGCCCTTCTTTTGGCTCGATGCTGAGAGATGCCGTGCCCAATTGGAGAAGCTGTCGAGGGCAATTGGAGCTGCGGCCGCAGATTGGAGCTTCGTAGCAGCCCGGCTATTATGCATAGCTGCAAGAGTTCTCCATCCCCCGCCGCAAAAGGCGTCGCGTGACGCCGTTTCAGCTGCTCGTATGGTACAGCACCTTGGGTCCTCTTGGAGCTCTCACCGGCCGAAGGCTTGCAAACGCGCTTGATGGTGGCCGAAGCGAATGAGAGGTGCCCGCCGCTATGCCATGCTAGCCCGTCAAGCTTTGGAGCGGAGAGCGAGAGGCTAAGGTGGCTAGCAATTAGCATCTTGGACAACGCCAATCTCGATGCCTGGCAGCCCAGAGGCAGTTGGAGCAGGCCAGGTGACTTGGGACAGCATCAAGGCGGGGTTCTGGAACCAGGCGAATTGCGGGGTGGCGATCCCTCGATGTCTGGTCGAAAACTGGGGTTCCATCACCTCTTGTCATCTTCTCTCGTGTCTTGTCTGCGTTTCTTTGCATGCGGCACGGCACCAGCAGGTACATACTTGGTATAGTGCTTCTGCTTCGTAATAAAGTGCAAGTGGTTGGAGAGAGGACGAGGCAGAGCTGTCCGCAACCAGCAACAGCCCAGTTCCAACAGCCAAAGCTCGGTGTTCAAGGAAACAGAAAACACACTCCCTCCTGCTCTCTCCTCTTCTCCACGTCCCCATATGCGGACTACTCGTTCTCCGTACCGTATCCAACTCAAAATCGTCTTGACTGACGGTGGCTGCTGAGCTAAGGTGGCGTGGCTTACAGGGCCCCCGCGATGGTTGACTTGTTTGTCTGTCTGCACCAAGTCTAGGCCATCTTTAAGCGCTCGTGTGCCGTCGCCGTGGTGCCCAAGATTCCCGAACGGCGTCTCGCCAGCGTGAGGATGATCGTCGATGGATATTTCAGGTTGGATTTAGTTTTGGGCCTTTGGCTGTTAGGGCACAATTCCAGCCGCACCTCCAAAGTTTCTGCCCGCCCCTCCAGAGCCAAGGTTGAGTGCCGGGATCAACCTGTAGGGTCGGGTACTAATTCATACAGTACGGGGTACAAGTACGAGACTCTACAAGCACGACTAAGCGGCCAGGATCCTCTCGCCGGCCCAGGAGCACGCAGGCACGGGCAGACCAGGCACGAGATGTACCCGCGGGTACTGGTGCTATTCCCACTAATGCAGGTCGCTTTGCAGGGGCCGGAAAATCACCAGATTGGCTCTCCGGCAACTGTTGCAAGAGTCCAAGTCAAGGAATTGGTGAAATTGATATGCGTGAGAGCAAGATGTCAAGTCAATACTAAAGCCAGCTATATAGCAGGCATGAAACAGCAGAATCAATGGCCATCTAATGTTGGTAAATACCTGGTGATTCAATACTACTAATGTCCGTCGTGTTGTGTATTGTCGGCATCTTGTCGACCAATATCAAGCAGAAGGATGCGGGAGCCGAGACAGGGACCTCATGGACTGCATGTGCCATGCTCCAACCAAGCGGGAGTGGCAGAGAGCCAAAAGATGCACAACTGAGACGGGAGAAGGGCGCAAACAAGGTGCGAATACTCTCGTACGTCGTTGTGAGTCAATGGCGCTGGCGCGTTGCGATATGGAAGCAGTCAAGACAGTCGATCAATCGTACGAGTGCCGTGCCGACTTCTCTTCACCGTAAGGTTTTCGTGTAACTACATGAATTTTCTGGGAGCATCGTAATCTAAGATTCGACAGACTATTTCATTCAATTGAATCCGTATGGACAGCCTCTGGCAGGGTGCAGAGAATCCCGCTCTTGGATTTCCAAAGGGGTAAACCACCGATTCCGTAATGGTATAATGCAGCAAATTACTGTGAAAAAAAGAGAGAGAGAAAATAACAAAATCTTACCAAGCTGGCACCGAGTATTACTACATTGCTCCGTACCTTGTCGTGCTTGTCTTGGCTCTGCACCCTCAGAGAAAAACCCCCGTCTGTTCCTGGGGCGAGGTTCAGGTAGTAGCCAGAGCCACGACTTAAAATAACCGCAAGGCGAGAGTCGCATTGCCCCAATAGGCTATAGTGGCAGCTTCAGGTTACCTAGATGCTACTGCTTGTCCCCATCAGCAGTCGGGGATGCCGGCGTCAGGCGGGCGGCATCGGTGATGCGAACTAGGATCGATCATGGTCAAAGTAGCAGCTCGCAGAAGCACCTGAAAAAGGGCATTCCGAAAAAAAAAAAAAAAAAGAAAAGCCTCTACAGTAGTCTATGGAGTATGTACGCAAACATGGCAGAAGGACGAACACATCGCCACCCTTGCGCATATATGTACTATGGTATACGAAATGTTGTACTTGTAGTACGTGGAGATGTTGGTTAAATGTCGATCTTGCAACGCCGCATGTACATGTAGCTGGTCCCGTGCTCGTGCCATGGGCGAATCGACTTACATGTACTTACATCCGATGCGGTGATACAATCGCCATGGCCCTCTTTTTCCTTTCCCATGCGCATGCTCCCCACTTTGCACCAGCATCCAAAACCTGGGCCGGGGGGAGCCTTGGCCGCAGAAGCTTGCAATATTGGCATCAGATGGAGCCCGCGTACTCCATACAGACGAGAAGCGAGAGTTGCGGGCAAGCGACTTGTAACAGGTACGAGTACGATGCGTGTCTGGATGGAGCACCGGCGTTTAGATTCCTGGTAGGGAAATTGACATGCAGCACGAATCTCACAAGCGAAGGGAAAAAAAGAAGAAGGACGGCTTGTGCATGCGAGAACACGACGGAGACATATCAACCAGCTCTGGGCATGGAATCCCAGGCTCTGGCGGTGTCACGCTGTCCAGGTGCCCATCAGAGAGAGGTATAGAGCCATGCTCGGCACTTGAATCCTCTCCAAAAGCCGCTCCAAGACGGAGACAAAAGACAAAGGACAAAGGACAAAAAACACTCGCTGTCTGTCCTCTTGTCCATGCAACAGGTTGGATCACATCACACCACATGCACGACATCCCGCAGCTCGTCTCCTCACTGTGAGATGCAAACTAACGCCTGGGCACTCCCCCTTTCTCCCCAATTCAATGCAGCGCCCATTCAGCTTTTGTGCAGGCCCGGTTCCACGGCCACCTCGGGCCGCCACCTGGTCCAACCCACATCGACTGCCCTAGGCCCCATCGTCATCTCGAGAGGCCTTTGGCTGGGCAGGATTGAGGTGCCGGAATGCTGCGAGGGGAAAGGGCCTGAGCAGTGCCGAAGTTGTCGATTGGCGCGTTGAGCCTTGCTTCGCCCGTCTGCTCGGCCTCAATGGTTCACTTGGTGGCCTCTTTCTCTGCTCCTCTCTGGCCTTTGCCTTCTGGCACCACCTCCATCATCCGACAAAAGAGCTGCGGGTGCTTTGTGCCAGCCAGAGCCCTCCAACCCCATGAATGAATCCACCACCCATCCATCCCATCCACTTCCCCCCTGTTAGCTCTCCGACTCGCTTCTTCTGTACATACACAGAGGAGAGGATGTGTGTTAGCGCTGCGAGTCAACACGACGACGGAGAGGGGTGAGTGCAGAGGGCAGAGGGTAGAGGACGGCGGGCAGAGGAAAAGGTGGAAAAAGCATAATTGCGGCGCCAGCTCCTCGTTGCAAGCCTCTTGCGGACGCCATCGCCGGCCGTCGTCGAGCTTCTCCATCTTGTGAGACGACTTTCTGCAATTACAATTACATGCTTCCCCTCTCTTGGGAGCATCTCCACTTCTCCCAGCGACGGCCAG